CTGTCTCAAAAGGCAGCTGAACAAGGAAATGCTAGTGCACAAAATAATCTTGGTGTGTTTTATAAAAATGGAATTGGAGTGGAAAAAAACGAACAAAAAGCAGTTGAATGGTATGAAAAAGCAGCTGAACAAGGATATGCCAGTGCTCAACATAATCTTGCTATATGGGGTAGAAAGGGATGAACAAAAAGCAGTTGAATGGTATGGAAAAGCAGCTGAACAAGGACTTGTCAGTGCTCAATATAATCTTGGTTTATGTTATGAAAATGGAATTGGAGTAGAAAAGGATGAACAAAAAGCAGTTGAATGGTATCAAAAAACAGCTGAACAAGGTCTTGTTAGTGCTCAATATAGTCTTGCTATATGCTATGCTGATGGAATTGGAGTAGAAAAGCATGAACAAAAAGCAGTTGAATGGTATGAAAAAGCAGCTGAACAAGGGTTTGTCAGTGCTCAATATAATCTTGGTCAGTGTTATGCAAATGGAATCAGAGTAGAAAAAGATGAACAAAAGGCAGTTGAATGGTATCAAAAAGCTGCTGAACAAGGACATGCTAATGCACAATATAATCTTGGCTGGTGTTATGAACTGGAGTAGAAAAGGATGAGCAAAAGGCAGTAGAATGGTATCAAAAGGCAGCTGAACAAGGACATGCTCAAGCTCAATATAATCTTGGCTGCTCTTATCATAATGGAACTGGAGTAGAAAAAGATGAACAGAAGGCATTTGAGTTGTATCAAAAGGCAGCTGAGCAAGGACTTGTCAGTGTTCAATATAATCTTGGCATATGTTATGAAAATGGAACTGTAGTAAATAAAGATGAACAAAAAGCAGTTGAGTGGTACCAGAAAGCAGCTGAACAAGGATATGCTAGTGCACAAAATAATCTTGGTGCATGTTATCAACATGGAACTGGAGTAGAAAAAGATGCACCAAAAGCAGTTGAGTGGTATGAAAAAGCAGCTAATCAAGGAAATGCTAATGCACAATGTAGTCTTGCTATATGCTATGATGATGGAATTGGAGTAGAAAAGGATGAACAAAAAGCAGTTGAATGGTATGGAAAAGCAGCTGGACAAGGATATGCTTAAGCACAATATAATCTTGCTTTGTGTTATGCAAATGGAACTGGAGTAGAAAAGGATGAACAAAAAGCAGTTGAGTGGTATCAAAAAGCAGCTGATCAAGGAAACGCTAATGCACAATGTAGTCTTGCTTTGTGTTATGCAAATGGAATAGGAGTAGAAAAGGATGAACAAAAAGCAGTTGAGTGGTATGAAAAAGCAGCTAATCAAGGAAATGCTAATGCACAATGTAGTCTTGGTTGGTGCTATGCAAATGGAACTGGAGTGGAAAAAGATGAACAAAAAGCAGTTGAATTGTATCAAAAGGCTGCAGATCAGGGAAATGCTCAAGCATAATGTGATCTTGGTGTGTGTTATGAGCATGGAATTGGAGTAGAAAAAAATGAACAAAAAGCAGTTGAATTGTATCAAAAAGCTGCTGAACAAGGATTAGCTCAAGCACAACATAATCTTGGTGTGTGTTATGCAAATGGAATAGGAGTAGAAAAGGATGAACAAAAAGCAGTTGAGTGGTATGAAAAAGCAGCTGATCAAGGAAATGCTCCAGCACAATGTAATCTTGGTTGGTGTTATGTGTATGGAACTGGAGCAGAAAATGATGTGCAAAAGGCTGCTGAATTATTTCAAAAAGCAGCTGATCAAGGAATTGGTGCTGCACAGAATAATCTTGGTTGGTGTTATACAATTGGAATTGGAGTAGAAAAAGATGAACAAAAAGCAGTTAATTTATATCAAAAAGCAGCTGACTAAGGAAATGTTTTTTCACAATTCCTTCTTGGTTATTGCTATCAGTATGGAATTGGTGTGGAACAGGATGAGCAGCAAGCAATTGAGTTTTATGAAAAAGTATCTGATCAAGGATATAGCAAAGCTCGATCACATATTTACAATATTACTTTATTTAGTAATAAAGCACTGAAAGAAAAAAAAATAGCTGAAGTGCTGAAATTTTGTCAAAGTAGTAGTAGACATCAACAGAAGTGAAGTAGAAGTTTTTAAATTAATACGTTTGAATTTCTGTTTGGTATTAACATTTACTTTCCAGAATATCTTGTGCCACAATTATTACATTTATCTCTTATATTATTATGAAAATTTTCACTTTTTTGAATAGTAATAGTACAACTTTATATTTCATCTTATCATAATAAACCACTATTTTTATCCAAGTATAAATTAATATGGTCAATTGTATTGTTCCTAGCAATTTACCATTGTAATACGTAATTGATTTTGATGTGCTGATTGCAATTGAATCAGTGGGGGGTTTGATCTTGTCAACTGATTTGGAATGGCCAATTATGGTTGCTTATCTTCTCTTTAATAATCCAACAGGATATCAAAATTAATCCCAGTTTGAAAGACATGTGGAAGCAATTGAGTTGTACATGAATTTATTATAGGCAATAATAAAATTGAGCATTAAAAACCAAATACAAATTTAAAGCCACTAGTATAGCTAAAATAATAATGGAAACCTCATATTAAATGTTTTGACCCAATTGAAATCTGACCCAATTCGGAATTGGGTCGACCCAAATCAAAATAAGCTCAGAGTAATATTCATTTCGATGTCGTCACATAATTTATGCACAACGGTTGGACAGATGTCGTTTGTTTGTACGCAAGGAGAATATATACTTTATTGCATATTCTACTGCACTTTATTATGGTAAAACAACTAAAATCAGTGCTAAAAAAATCGGGTTGATTATCACATACTGGATTGCACCAGCAATGAGGCTTCTTCTGATAAGTAGTTATTCTAAACGCGTGGAGGATTAAAAAATAGTAGTAGTAGCTGTTTATTTGTCTTTACTAAATAACAATTAACATGAGATGCAGCATTAAACGCTCAATAATTAATACAATTATTGTTCGCATGAATGCCGGCCCTCTACATGGACGTCTTTGTCTATGTTTGTCTCCTATTACTATTAGCACTGTTAATGAGATACAGTGTGTTACAAAAAAAATGGCAAAATCACTTTTGATTGTTGTGCTATGATAGACAGAGTAATGAATAAGCTCTATACGTTGTTTAATAGCTTATGAGCAGAGGTTTTATTGTCACAAATTTGATTGAGTATTTTTTCATAAATACTTCTCATATTTAGTTTATGTTTCCATCTAACATTTTTATTTTATCAGAAATAAAATCTCATTTCCTTTACTATATGCATATTAACTTTCCAGTCACACTTTTTCTCTATTATTTGGCTAAACTTTATAAATTTTAATAAAATTTTAAGGCTTTACTATTAGCAGGTCACTAATGGTCTTGTGCTGTGTAGTAGTAGTAGTCAAATCTGATCAAGATAATTTATGATCAAATCTGACTGCAAAAAGACTAAGGTTGGACAAAATAAAAACAAGAGTTAAAACTTTTTTTGACAGTTTAAAAATAGTGTAAGTTTTATGTTACAACATAAAAAAATGCAGAATGAAAGACTGTAGATTGCATAACATATGTATTTAAAATTTTTCATATTTTTTGCCATTTTTTTTTGTAACACATTGTAGTTGTTTCTGGGATGCCATCCTGCTTCAACCGCTTCTAAATCAGCTGTCTATCTTGTATACCCAGACTACAGCCCAGCCTATACCATCCACTATCTAAAACTTCCATCACCTTGCACAGTAGTAATCTCTGCCCCATCAGAGCTGGTATACCAAGTCTGACGATATTCCTACATGGTAATCCTGGCGGCGAATAACGCCATTGCGGCTTACAGTCTGCGAGTCTTCATCCGGTTCACCGGTTTCACTTTAACAGGTTCTACGCAATTCAATATTAGCCGATTTCAGCATCAGCCGTGACAATTACTTTTAGAATAATTGACCACAATAAATATGATTGGTGTTCACGTATTGGCACTCGTCGTACTGTCTAATCCTCTCACGCTACATTTCGAATATTTCCGATGTAACATCGTCTTCAATTACCCTATATTCAGATTCCACTTTCTCAAATCATCCAGGCAACGTAAACACAATGTCCTATTCGCCTCAGTAAAGTTTGCTGTCAATGTTCTGACCCAAATCGAACTTTCAAATCATTAGAAATAAACTATTACTTAACCTGTTGTGTACCCTGTTGTGCATAAATTTTGTGATTATATCGCATAGATATCACTCTGAGCCTATTCCGAATTTCGATTTGGGTCAGAACATTAATATGAAAATCCATAAACTACACTTCCGTCTCAAAAGTCACTGACCATCCCCTAGATTTGCGATTACATGAGAATATTGCATATGGCACGCCAAACGGCTAAGTAACCACCTTCAAACACGTTCGAGTTGCACCAAGTGTCCCATTGGATCTGATCACCAGCAAGAAAAAATTGGGTCCAGTTTATGACGTAAAACAACGCGACACTTACCCCTCCCGTCATCTAAAAAAAGGGGGAAGTGTCTGAGAGTGAACACACCTACGTACTACGTAAAAGGTAATATCACTCTCTCACATGTAATATGTTATTTAATATTGTTTTGTAAAATTCCTATGCTATTGAGAGATAAGCTCCATGACTTTTTCTTTTAAAAAAAAGCTAGAGCTGTAGAAAGTGGTAAAAAATAAATTTAAATTAGATGCGTGTACAAAAGTTGGTTGCTTGACGGAACTCCAAAACACTGGCAGAGAGCGGCATATAAAAAGCAGGGATAAATCTTACGCAGTGTAGTTGTCCATATCTGAACATAGCTTCCAGGTTCTCAAAATTACAAGTTTAACAAAATGTTTGAAGACATCTTTTCATACGCTAGGAACTCTTTATGCATTAGTCGCTATGTCTTTTTACTGTGTCATTACTTATTATTATGGTAAGTTTTACCGCTTACAAACAAGTAGCTTTATTTCGCGTATACTGGCCGGCTTTCCCAGAATTGCGCGAAGTATGATGGTGGCTAAGTTACACAAATTCATTGCCAATAAGCTCATTTACTATTTCTACTCGCTTCCTTTCTTTCACTCCGATCCTCTTGTCAAATTTACCACCACTCCATTCATCACGCATCAGTTTCTGAATAATCTCGTCAATGTCAGTTTCTCTGTTCATTAGCTGTCTCGCAATAAATCCTTCCAATATTGCCGCATCATTTTGTTGTGCTTCCATGAATTCTTTTTGTGCTTCCTGATGGTTTTTTTGCTTAAATAAGTGAGTGAATCCCTTCATATGATGATAGATAGAGATGCTCGTGGCAGGAATGATATTCGTTGAGGGTTCAGTGAGTTGGATTGGAGCATAAGCACCGGTAAAAGAGTTGTGGTATTTAATAATATTGCTGTTGTAATCTGCAAT